CGCAGGGCGCGGGCGTCCTGCTCCTTCCTCCAGTTGGCCTTGCGAGCCCGCAGCTTGTGAGGCTTGAAGGTGTTGGCTACCTTTCTGGCAAAGATCTGGGAGTGCTCGTCCAGCCACACCAGCCCGGCGAGCAGGCTGGCCGTGTCCGGGCTGAGCTGGGCCAAGGAGCTCTCCAGGGGCAGGAAAGGGACCACGCAGTCTTGCCACCCTGGCCGCGTGAGGCTGCTCATCAGCGACTGGCTCAGCTGGTGCTGGCTCAGGCAGCAGTCGAAGTTGGCAGTGAGCAGCAGGACGGTGAAGGCCGAGTGGTCTATGGCGTCCTGCAGGCAGCGCAGGCTGCTGCGCCCAGGCACCTGGAAATCCTCGCAGAAGGTGGCTCCGTCGGGCACACCCAGGGCCTCGAACTTCTCCCGGACACGCAGGGCAATGTGCTCATCCGCCTTGGCGTGCAGGACCACGAAGTTAAAGAACTGCTGCTCCGACGGCTCGAACTCGGGAGAAGGGGGACACGGGCTTGAGGAGGAGGAGGCCGGGTGAGCTGAACAAGGAGCCGATAGGGAAGGGTTGGGAGGGGACGTCTCGGGGGCCGAGGAGGTGGGTGGGCACGGCTGGGCTGCTGGGGAAGGAGTATCTTCCACGGGAATTTGTAGTGGCACCTGGTCCTCGGCGGGGCCGGTGTTTCTGCAGGGCGAGGGGAGAGACGTGGGGGCCGGTGTCACTTCCGTACATTCCACTGGGTAGTGGGTGCTGGTGCCTGGAGCCTCAGCGGCGTTGGATGGGCCAGCCGGACTTGCATCTAAGGCCGCCTCAGGCAGCCCGGGGGCTGGGCTATCGGAGGGCACCAGGGTGTTAGCAATCTCCTCCGACGTGGGCCAGCTCATCTCCTCGGGCTCCTGGAAGCCTGCGGGGACAGGCTCGGGCTCCGGGGGCTCATCGCACAGCCTGCTGGGACCACGGGGGCTGTGGTGCTGGCTGAGGAGGGCCATGGTGGGCGACTGGCTAATTTCCAAGTTGCTGGCCAGGGAAGCCGGGCTGCCGGTGGACCGGAGGGAGCATCCTCTGCTCCAGCCCAAGGGTTCCTCGATGGGCTGAGGATGGCTGCGCACCACAGAGGGCGAGGCGGAGGATGGCGGGAGGCAGCCCAGAGCAGAGTGGAGCGGCTGGAAGTCCCCCGGGTCCCCCACGATGTCCCACCCGCACCGGTTCCGGGCCTCCTCCTGGAGCTCCCTGAGCCGGGGGTCATCCCTGGAGCTGAAAACATGGAGGGCTGCCCGGTAGGCCGCGTCCCGCATGGGGGCCGGGCACAGCTTCTCCTCGGCGAGCAGGTG